CTTTTATAGTCCCCCCCCCCTTCTGATAGTCCGGTATATTTGATAATCCGGCACCCCCTGGGTCTTAAAGGTGCCGGATTATCGGAAGTTTACTGTACTAAGGGATCATCCTGGACCACAGTCAGCATGTTCATGACCAGAGTAGTGCCACACTGACTTTAAACATTCTCTTTCTTTTCATCCCAAACTTGATGCTGCTACTTTACAAAAGCAAACTCGTTAAAAAAATAGTTGGTTTTTGTAAGGGTGGACATTGGTGCCTGTCCTCAAACATCATCAATATCGCTGTGGGAAAGGGAGGCTATTATTTGCAGCCCCTAATCACAGATTTTTGAAAAGCAGTAACAAAAGATCCCTCCTACCCTTTCTTGTGCGCTTACCCTGCCTGCAAACCCAATTCTGCTCCCCAGCGCTCTGCCATGCGTTGTACCTTACTAGTAGACACTTCTTTTAAAAGACAAATTTTGACTTTACACCAAGGCAATGTATTTACTACTGTGAAGTGTTTAAATCATTTCAAACATTAACCTTGTGTTTTCAACAATGTATGTTCTCAAAGGCTACCCTTAGGCTACGTCTACACTGGCCCCTTCTTCGGAAGGGGCATGCTAATTTTGAACTTGGGAATAGGGAAATCCGCGGGGGATTTAAATATTCCCCGCGGGGTTTAAATAAACATGGCCGCTGCTTTTTTTCCGGCTTGGGGAAAAGCCGGAAAAAAGCGTCTAGACTGGCGTGATCCTCCGGAATAAAGCCCTTTTCTGGAGGATCTCTTATTCCTACTTTGAAGGGCTTTATTCCGGAGGATCACGCCAGTCTAGACGCTTTTTTCCGGCTTTTCCCCAAGCCGGAAAAAAAGCGGCAGGCATGTTTATTTAAAACCCCCGAGACGTAGCCTTAGAGTTTTGGGGTTTTTTTGCTTGTGGCTTGAACCTTATCTGGGGGGCATCCTCCATGCCAGCAAAGACTGTCCTAAATAAGAAGGCAGAAAAAAAGCACACTAGGGAAAACATGTTTTATGATCCGATGCATTCCTCAGACTGACAGGATCCAGCTCAATGCACAGAGACTTTCATTGTTAATTAGCCAAACCATGATGAAATCATATTGCAAATACTGGTTTCAGTCACAAGTGACTTTTATATAATATTTATTTTGCTAGTTTAGCTTTAGTATTTAATCTTACCTACACCCAGAAGTTCTACAGCAACATTTGTTACTCTGTTCTCTGCACCAAGGACAGATCGCCATTCCAAGAAATAGGATGCCACTAATGTGGTCTCACCAAACATGTCAGTTTTGATCAGAACCAGATGCACTGGATCACATATTGATAACATAGCAGTTGCATCCACTATCTTACTTCCATCACCTGCCATTATTAGACCAATAGAAAACAAGCACTTTACAATTATATCAGATTATATCAGAGTACTATCATTACAAATTCTCCCCACTAAAATTGCTTTACAAATCTAACACACAACAACACTCAATTTTTTTTAAATTATTGCAAAAATTAAAAAACAAGTCAGTTCTGGCCACTCATCTCACCCAATCTCAAAGAAAGACACTGCAGAAAAAGATGGGGGTCAGAGACAAATTATGACAGAGTGAGGGGAAGATTTCCATATGAGCAAAGGTTGAAAAGATTAGTGTTCTTTAGTTTATAAAGGTAACAGTTGGAAAGAATGGACAAATGGACAAGATGCCAGTGCAGAGAAACCTGAGCATAATGACTGTTAGAGAGAAAGTAAATTTAAGCATTCTTATTTGGCCCTTCTAATAATAAAAAAACAAGGAAATATTCAATTAAATGGAAAGGTAAACTTAAAACTGATAAAAAGGAAATGTTTGGGGGTTTTTAATCATGAAGCATGCCTAACCTGTGGATCTCACTGCCTCAAGACGTTTGGGGAAAACTCTTAATAGAATTTAAAAAAAAACCATTTATGTTAGCTGGGATAATTAAAAAAATAAATAATATAACCATTATGCTTCAGGGCACAAGGCAACTACTACCTGACAGAAGTTAAAAAGAAACTTCTCCTGTAGACAGATTATTCCATAATAGTCTTGTATGGGCTCTTTTGAAATATCGAGCATCTTAGCTGCACCTCTGATCTGATGTAGTACAACAATTCCTACATTCCTATGTTTTAATTTATACTGCTTTATGCATGAATATAGAATTTTCATATGCTGCTTTACTATCTGACAATTTGAACCAAAAGAACTACATAGTATTGTGGTTCAATATATAAACAATGATAGGATCTTTTAATACTTGCAATAGCATAGAATATTTCAGTGGCTACAAGGCCTTTAACCTTGAACTATGCAGCCAAAGCACAACGATTTTCCAGCATGACATACATTCTGTTACATCATGTTGATTGAAATAAAATATTATTTTGGAAGTTTACTACATGGTAATAATTCTGCCCACTACACTCCTTTTACAACATATTTTGACTGTTTTCACCTAAGTCACCATATTCTCTCTATATCTCTTTAGAAAAAGAATTGGCATCATTGTACCAAAGCCTACAGCCTGCAGAGATGTGGCAGTGGCCACCATCTATATTGATATGCTAATATTATTAATTTAACAATCTATAATGTAATGCAATCAGTCTCCATATTCTAATTCTAACTACTCAAAAAATTATTGCAATGTTCCAGAAACAGTCCCTTCATTTCCAATCAAATCATGATTAGATAAATGTAGTATTGAAAAAATAATGCACTGCATTATCAGACAATGAACACTTTCTCTTGAATTTGCCCTATTATTGATCAAAATAATATAAAATATTTTAAACAAATCCATAATCTTAGTACAATACATTACATATATTTTCAGACTTACAGTGTTCCTTACCTAGGTTATCCTTGTGTACTTCAAGTAAAAAACCATCATGAAAATCTGGTTCACAGGAACATGGGACAGGTTTAGAGCGAAAACGTTGGTTTCGAAAGTGCAAACACAGAGTGAAAGTAGAACAAATTTGACCAGGTAAAGGTTCAGGTTCTTGCAGATGTTCCAGAAAAGCTTTTCCACCCAAAACCTGAAGGTAAAGATACCTCCGTGTTGGGTCAATGTTAGCTGCAAAGTGTAGCAATAAATGTAAAGAGACTGCCAACAGGTCTTAAGGAATGTATTTAAAACATCAGTAAACTAATACAGATTATCACAAGGCACAGTTTCAACAAAAGTGATATAGAAGTGTTTGAAATAATGGATAAAACTGGTTCTTAAGATATTTTAGCAAACATTTCAGATTATGCTAGCATGTGTGATTTGTTGGTTATGCTGCTGCTTACATGACATGTCTTTCTGCTATTTACACTATTTTATTTCCAGTTGATGAACAGGAAAAACTTTTGCTTTCTGTACATTATGGAAATTATTTTAACTGAATTCCTAAAACATAAAACCTCATTAAGTTTGAAGAGTTAACTTTACAATTTGTAAGTAAACATTCATATTTCTTATGGAATTATTATCCAGGTACTAAATTAACAAATACATACTTTTTTGCAGTATTGGGGGTTGTCTGTCAATAAAATGTGTAGCCGGTTTTGGAGTTGAAGCCATCTCTCTGTCATTCACATCCTAGAATTACAGTTCAAAGACATTTTTAAAGAGTGAAGGAAGAAAATCTTGCTCATGAAACTTGGGATGTAAGAGTTTAACCCATTAACTAATAAGCCGATGATTACTGATTTCTATTACCTGTTAAACTCTGGCCGCTCCCATGGCACCAGTTGCCCTGTGTTCTGTGTGCATTGGCTTCTAGCTCCGCTCCCAGACAGCTGGCTCCCCCCCCACATTGCTGGCTCCGCTGCTGGGGAGCCGGATGCCCCATGCTGTGGGTTCTGCAGCCCGCAGGCTCCCGGCACGTGGCAAGAGCCTGCTGGCTGCAGAGCCTGCAGCACGGGGCAGCTGGTGCCCTGGGAATAGGGCCAGCAGCAGAGCTGGCAGCACAGAGTAGCCAGCACCCCAGGAGTGGGACTGGCAAGGATATCCCGGGAGTGGCCATGGGGGCACCCCTCCACCATCCTTCCCTCCCTACTCATACACCCCAGGGTAAAATAGTTAGTCATGTAACCAATAGGATTTTTAATGGTCACATGGTTACTGTTATAGATTTTTTACATCCTAATTGAAACCCTGAGAATTCCTCACTCCCACCACTATCCCAACCCCACAATGCCTTGAACACCTCCCTTCTTACAAGTCAGTATACCCTGCTACCTGACTGAACAGTTTAATACTGTATACATAATAGGGATGTAAGCAAGTAGTCAACTAACCAATAAGCCTAGGCAGCAAAGGAGGGGGGAAGCAGGAGCCAGTGCTGAGGAGAGCTGGCTTAAAAGGCAACACCGGCGGGGGGGGCCGC